AAGTGAAGGTTGGATCCACGACAGAATCGTCGGATGAAAAGTCAACCATTGGTTCTGACATTTTTTTATGTCGATAATTCGCCTCTTAGTTTAATATTTAAAGCACTTCACTTCCTCAATGTACAACGTGGTATCCAATTTTAGACAATTACCTTTGCAAAAAAGAGCTACCGAGGACTTGGTCATACCGAAACATGAATACCGTATACAATTTGTAGTTTTCCATACTGAATATAATATTTTTTTCATAACGCCTACTTGCAAGCAGCGTATGACTTTTTTCTCGAAAGGCCATTTTTGAATAAAAAATATTGCAATAAAATTGTATTGTAGTTTCCAATATATAAAAGTTTTTTTTTACATAATCCATACACTACACGGGATGTAGGGTGTATCAAATTAACAATATTTCACACACGTTCTCTGAAAATGTCACAACTCGAAATTTCCTACCGTCTAGAAACGAGAAATGCTTGTCTTGCTTATTTTTGTTTTTCACTTTCAGAGCACGAGTAACGTGACATTTATTGTGCTCTTATTTGCTTCAGTGTACTAATTAGAAAGATAGTATGATTTAAGCTTAGATTCTAAATTAAGGTTCACACTTTAACAATGAACAGCTTAAAAAGACTGCAAACGACTTTATATTGCAATCATTTTCTGATTGCAATAAAATGAAATGAAATGAAATTGGATTGGTAGCCTTGTTATCTTCCCATTCTTCTAAGTTTAAGGCCGAAATTGGTGCCGCTATATATCTCGAATATTCGTCAAGATCTTTTTTGTCTTTTCGCCCAAGCACGAGCCCTCGATGGTGCTTCCAAAAATCATAGGTAACTGCAATATCCTCATCTGACTCACTGCTGCTCAGAGCACTGAGAGCTTCAGCCTTAACGAGCTCCTTAATTTTTTTAACTGCTTTTGAATAGGCAACTGGGTCTCTGAAGTGAATACGTTTGAACCTAGGGTCCAAACCTGTAGCTATGGCAATGGTGCTATGAAACTCTACTTGACCGAATCGTTTTTCCAGCTCCGATAACAACAGCGACTTTACAGTAGAGAGAGTGGGCGTCTCGCATACAACTTTACGGACTTGACATATCAGGCACAGGGTTGCCGCGGACGAAAAAAAATATTTACCATGCACTTGAAAAAAATCTACCAAATCTGGGAAATATCTACAAATAACTTTTTTATAATTATTTTAATAAAAACTATAGTTTTGTTATTTTTTTATTTATTTAAATTAAAACTATAGTTTTTTTATTTTCTTTTTAGTTATTTCAATAAATATAAATATATAAAATTGTTTTTAAGAACTTTTTACTTAACTAGTTATACGATATTTGAATCATATTATTGGCATATTCTCAGTTTCCTTCAACCAAAAGCGGAAGTGATGAAACTATAGGCAACAATGAAACTTCATTATTTGAAAAACTTCAACTCGAGTTATTATAGACAATTACAGTGACTCAAAAAAGTGATTTTTTTAATATTCGCAATAAAATTTTTTTATTGCTTTAATCGAATCCATAAACAACATAGAAAAATTCCAAATATTTTCGTCTAAATTTCGAATTTTTTACTCTGAATTTTTATAACAATTTAAGGTGTGGAGTTTTAAAGCAAATACTTTTTGTGTATAGCCAACAATGTGGTGCTTAAAATTCCCTTGATTTTTTTTTTTTGCATTGATAAAAAATGGTGTTGGTTTATTTTTTTTTTGCCTGTCAATTTTTTCTTTATATTTAAATAATCATTTAAAATATTTAGGCAATCAAAAGCTCCTCGGGATTCCAGTAAAATTAGTTTTGAAAGGAGCGCGATATGTTCGCCTTATATTGATATAAGTATAGTATGCAAAGAAATTTATAATATATTTAAAGATAACTACGAAAAATAAATCGGGAACGGAAAGTGCATCAAAAATCTACCAAAATGAGAAAAAATTTACCTTTTACCAACCCAAATTTTTTCTACCAATTTTGGTAACAATTTACCAAAGTGGCGACCCTGATCAGGCAGTTAATGGTAGGAATTATTTTGGAAATTTAAATATATTTTTCAGCGGAACTTTCTCTAGTGGCACACTCAAAAGGCTTTAGAAGTAAGATTAGTTGCTTTATGCAGTCGATTTCGCTACCTGTCAACATGTTAGAGCCGTCAGGAGAAAAGATCAACATTTGTGAGCAAATTGGACCCAAATCTATAAACCTTTGTAGCATAAAGTATGTTAAGTTCCATCTCGTCTTCACATCTCAAATAAGTTTTTTCGTTGCGCCCTCAGCCGACCCTGCTTCTATATGAGATTTTCTGAAACAATCAGAATTCATTACGCTATTGTTTATCCACAAGACAATGGCTCCCACTTTATTTACTGCATCACTGAAACCGTCAAGTCTTAGCCCTACTTCCGCCACCAAATTCAGCGTATGTGCGAAACATGGTAAATGCTTATTTTTTCCCCGCAACCAAAATTGCAGCATTCACCATGTTTTGTCCATTGTCGGTGACAATGCCTCGAATTTTGTCTACTTGAATATTCCACTCATACAAAATTTGTTTCAGTGTGCCAGCTATATTTTCGCCAGTATGTCTTACCCGCAGCTCCCGAGTACCGAGCCTTTGTTTGAACTCCATCGATGAAGTGCATAGTTACACCCAAGTAGCCCTTCTCCGCCATTGTATCTGTCTATATGTCCATGGTTAAACTTAATTTATCAGCGTTTTTGACTTTCTCAATATAGTTCAGTTTAACGACATCGTACTTCGCATTGAGTTGCGCCTTAAAATACTTTCGTCTCGGAACTTTATACAAAGGCGCAATTGTTTTCATTAGCTTGAGAAAGCCTTCACCTGAAATAAAATGTACAAATATAAATTTATGTTATACCCATGTTTTATATAAGAAAGAGTTCATTCTTTAACAGAAACCACAGTATATACTTCAGGATTCTTATTTTTGTATTCATGTACCTAGCAATTTGCTGAGTGAACTAATTTTTCTTTTTAATGATTGCAGTTTAAACAAGTAAAAAGTCTAAGTTCGGGCGAAGCCGAACTTTAGATACCCGGCGCAAGTATTAAATATAGTTTTTTCGCCTTTCCGAAAACTACCGCTACATGGTAAGCAGGGGTGATTTTACCCCTATTTTAAACACCTTCGATAAACTTATATAGTTGTATGTGGGCGGTATCACGCCCATTTTCCGAAATTCCAGAACAATGTTTCTTTTTTTCAATGGATTGATGTTGGTATCAATTTTGTTTAAATCAGCGTCATTAAATTTCGAAATATCGAAGTTTAAAGTATTTCTGAAATTTACCGTTATATAAAAAGTGGGCGTAATTTTAGTCCGATTTCAATAATTTTCAGCCGATTTTGGTACAAATTGATCGAATGGTTACCGAGATACGCACATGTGGTCATAAGTCGGCGGTGCCACGCCCGTCTTCCAAAATTTGATTATAAACGTATTTTCTGCTAAAAAATTATTGCAAACGTGAATTTTGAATAAATTATCTTCAGTATTTACTGATTTATCGAAGATTTCGTATTTCTCTAAATTACCGTTATACGGGATGTGGACGTAGTTATTGTGCGATTTTAAAATATTTTTTTTGCCGTTTGGTATATTTTGTCAAGGCCAACAAGTGTGCCAAGCTTGGGAAAAATTAGTGGAGCGCTTCCCAAGATATACACATGTAATCATTTCCATTTTCCATAAATTTATAATATTCTTATTTTTCGCCTAAAACTCATTGCAAATATCAATTTTGAGTGAAAAAGCTTCAGTAGTTACTAAAATAACGCAGTTTTCGTATTTCAGAAAACTAGCGTTATATGGGAGGTAGGCGTGGTTATTATCCGATTTTGCCCATTACCATTCGTCCTACGCTGAAAAGAAGTACACATACCAAGTTTCGTTAAGATATCTCAATGTTTACTCGAGTTATCGTGTGCATAGACGGACGGACGGACGGACAGATAGTCACCGCTTAATCGTTTCCTTTTTTCATTCTGATCATTTATGTAGACGTTTGTCTATACCTATCTCGATTCGTTTTGCCTGTTACAAACAACCGTTATATGAACAAAGTTATAATACTCTTGTGCACAAGTGCGCTCGGGTATAAAAATGCAAGCTCCACTGCCGAACACAAGGAAATATTTAATTAATTAAAAAAAAAATGATTTCACTACCGCATTCACGATCCATAGCAAATTCCCCAGGATCGTCCTTCCATTTGCAACAGATGTGACCGTTTTGCTTACCTTCCTTAAAATGGCTTCATTTCCGTACAAATAAAGTAGAGGATAGCCACCGATATACTCGCGAACTTTTGACCTCCATCTAAAAAAATTATAAATTATTGAGTGAAAACATTGAATTTGCATAAAACCTACAAGTAATCATTATTTACCTGTGTGATGAAATTTGCTTAAAAGCGTTTGCAAGTGGCTTAAGCGATTGTGGTGGAGGCATATTCTTATTAGCAGGCACTCTAAAAAAATTAGGATATGAAAACCAAAAGTATAAAAAAACACATTTTAGTTCTCACAGATCTTCACTCGAGGCCAGTGATCGGACTTCTACCACATTGTGGTAGATCTGCTACTTTTTTGACCATCTACCACAGGGTCTGAAATCTACCACATATTCGCGTTTTTGAGTAGTTTTATTTTTGCTCGACATAAGTTTCTTAATTCTAAGAACAAAAACAGTCCAACACTAAACACTAACAACAGGCAGAATGGGAGGATAAAATAAACTGTAAAATAGTAAATTTTCTCAATAATCAATTTTTCGACAGGAAACGTGGTTTTATTGTGTTAAATTGCAAAATATATAATTTATAAAAGTAATTAATAGCGAAAATGTTAAGAAACGGCGATTTTTGTGAAAGTATTAGCAAATTTCAGTGCATCTAAAGTTTCTGAACCGTTGTTTACTTTTACTTGAGAATTGTCAAAATCGGCAAATCCCAAGTACCGGTTTCTGGAACGTGTCACATTTGTTCGCTACATCGTGATGGGCCCTGTCACACGGTCAGTATTTATTGACGTGATCCAAGTATCGCGATATTTATTGACGGTGTAGCATGCAGTATTGATGGATCGTAATCCATATCGCAAAATTTCTAAAAATTTTGAAATCTCTATCGCGGATCGCAATACCGTCAATAAATATTGAACGTGTAGCACGTTCAAACCGCGATCCATACATTTCGTCAGTACATCTTTTACTCTCATAATGCGAACATCGAAAACGTATTCGCTCTGCCTTCGCTCACGGTGCTTAAAACCTTTCAAAGGAAATTGAAACAAGTTTTAATTAACATTGGAAATTTTAAAATAATTGTGGAATGCATTATCTGTAAATTATACGTACAAAATAAAAATATTTTCTTGCGTCATAATAAGCGTTCAGCACAAAAACTATGCAAATACTGACACGATAAATGTTGAACATGTAGCATTCGTGCGCGATCCACCAATTCATCAATATGGATCGCGATCCAAATATCGTTAAAATTAGTGACCGTGTGGCACGGCCCAATGTGATAAAAAGAAAAGCTGGTAGCACTCCGCAAGGTTGCAGAAATCTTTCAAAATATGTTCGAAAAATATCTTGATATGAAAGGAATTTCTTTACACTGTCAAGGAAAAAAATTGACAAAACTCAACGCAATGTTTAGCAACTTCAATCTTGCAATCTTTATTATACTGTTTGCAATTTAGGTGAAACTTTGCAGAATTTTTTTAATTTTTGTACAAAGTTTGATCCAAAACCTGAGATCTACCACATTTTTTGAAATCTACCACATTTTTTTCAGATTCTACCACACACATTTTTTTAAGTCCGATCACTGCTCGAGGTGCTGGAATTCAAAGCAACTCCTACATTATGGCCCCTTGCATGTTTATGCAAGTTTGACGTGTTTCCACTAAATTTTATTATCATAAGACAATGCTTACAGATAGCATAATTTTTATTTTTTTATCAAAATGTTGCCAAATTTTTGAAATTCGCGGCATTGTTTTTTATTTTCTTTTATGCAAAAATATTATGCACTCACTTCACAACCATAAATCCAAACGACCGGCAAGAGTTGAATGAAAAAGGAAAGAAAGAATTTCACAACATGGCGCTAGTGTTTTCGAGTACTTTTTGCCTAAAATCCTGGAAAACTAGTCAGTTTTAGTACGGGAAAGCAGCTATTGCAGTTTTTTGCTTCCCTTTATCCTCACTTTCTAGCACTGTCATACAAAATACATGTTCATTTTCACTGCCAATGCTGCCAAGATGTCATGAGAACATGTTGCCAAAAGCTCCACAGCATGATTCGTGTATTATCTGAATACAATTTCTGAAAAATATGGTAAAGCAAATAAATGCTTTAACCGCGTACTCGATACCCATTTTAGTACTTGCATGAAGGATTCGAGTACAAAAAATACTCAGTACTTGAAGAAAGTATCGAGTATTTACTCGTACCGGAACAACACTAGTTAAGACTTATACTATAATACGCAAGAACGATAGAATACAAGATTGCGCATTCCCGCAGAATGACATTTGTGGCAACGGGTAAACAAAGAATATGGCGAAGAACAATGAGCTGACAGTTGTGAATTTGCAGCGAGAAAACGTGTTTTCTTCTCGATTCACCAATTTCTCAAGCCATCTTTGAATATAGCAAATTAAGCACTACGTTAACAAAAAATACACAACCACTCTTGAAATGTGTTCAAAAGAATAGGTCTTATTAATTAACTATTTAGAATTTTTGTGTTTGTATTGCAGGTGCCGAAAAAGTGATAATATCTTGTCGCAGCGCATGTTTTCCTGCAGAAAGTGGTCGATGCTTGCTTACCTCCGATTTTAATTTGTAATTTGTGGTATTTCAACGTTTTCAACTTAACATGTCGTGTTTAAAAGTGGTCCGTAAAGTGCTTCATGCATATTACGCTGGTGTCTAAATTGTATGGCTTCTCCTGCCGACAGGAGACACTTTCTGGCCAAGGCGTCGTCGCGGGGAAACAAAAAAAAAAACTGCATTTGGGGGCTTTAACCCTACGGCTGCTGCAATTCAACACATGACACGACATTTTTATAAAGTTTTTGCTACAAATAAAACTTTTTTACTTCAGAATGCACGAATTACTTTGATTTTTCACTTGAAAGTACACAATACGTTTGCAATACGTTTGCACTTGTTCCTAAACAAAAAGTTTGTTTACGTATTGCCATAAATGTCAAAGTCGGCAAAACCAAAGTAGCGGTTTCGGGAATGCGCCACCTTCAGTTCATTTCACCATGTATAATACGGATCCATTGTTTGGAGTCCCCGCTACCAAGTTCATTCAGAAAGGATTGAATAAATTCAAACCCAATTCTTGCTTTTTGCATTGCGCGATTTTAACTGGGATTCAGACTACAATCTCCACCTTAATTAATAACAGGCTTGATTAATAACTCGGCACCAAAAAACAAAAAAAAGGTCCGTACCTCATGCGGACTGCGATCCATTATTTTAAAAGCTTGGGAACGCCTGGCTTAGATGCTAAAACCGTCGGGTATCGACGATTCTCGTAGCCTTGCGTACGAAGGGACTAATACCATGTTCTGACCGACATCGAAAACATGTTTTCGTTGCTAAAACTGGTTTTCGACCTAAAACATGTGTTTTCGGCCATGTAAAATCTGTCAAACGAAAACCAGTTTTCACTGAAAACTACTTGAAAACTCACGTTCCACTCATTCCAATCTGTGTCTTCACTAGTTTTTTTTCGATTATTTATCGAAGTGGAAGTCGTATTTTCTCATCTTTAATACGCTATTTCGTATTTATTGTTAATTGGCTGGCCAAACTAAAATAAGAATGACAGTAAGAGGTTGCTAATGAAAAGAAAATGTGGGAAAAGCATTTTGGTTTTGTTTCTGTGTAGCAACACTGCAATCAGAGGATGTAAGAAATGTCAACGAAAACACTAACAGCCGGTGTGAACAGCCTTCAGCCCACAATTCCAAAACTCGTTTTCAAAGTGTTTTCGTTGTCGGTCAAAACATGGTATAACTGTCAACAGTGGCGTGGGTGCCAAGCAGTGTTGCCACAACTATTTTTTTATTTTTTAACAAGGTCACCAGAAAAAGTGACCAAATTTATCGAAAATTTACCAAATCTATTTTATGTGCAGAATTGTGCATACATAAATATGTATATATGTATGTGCACATATCCAAATACAACGGGTCAGGTATAGTGTTGCCAGATTCCTTTTCCGGCCATACGGGACAAACGCATAATTTGTCCCAATTATACGGGATTTACATAAATTTTACGGGACAAATGAGAAATAAAGGATATGCTTTAAAATCCTAACTACGAACCATATATCAATCTATCTCAGAAAATGTTTCAACATCGTTCTATCCAAGAAAACTTTTCAAAAACGCTCTACTTCAGAATTTGATTTAAAAATACCCTAACTCAGAATTTGGTTGAATAACGCCCTATCTCAGCTGCCGATTCAAAAACGCCCTATCTAATCTTATTTTCAATGTATTTTCGTTTGAAATAGGGAGTTTTTGAGCCGAATTCTGAGATAGGGCGTTCTTCAACAAAATTTTGAGATAGAGTGTTTTTCAATAAAATTCTGAAGTAGGGCGTTCTTGAAAAGTTTTCTGAGATAGTGCGTTTTCGAACAGGCTGCCAAGATAGGTCGATCTTCCACTCAGCCATCGATATGTACTTACAAAGGTGATCCATTTCATTGAAGTAATGTTCAGATTAGTTATAAGCTTATGATAAATTTCGTTTATTTCATGACAACTCTTTTTAATTTAAACAAAAATATGTATGTACGTAGGCATGTAATTGACCAAGCCATAAAAACAAATTAAGAGATACAGTTGCGGTCAAAATAATAGCAGAAAAATTCAAAATGATGCTGTTGGCAACTTATCTTTAATTACTTATTGTAAATAATTTTCATTTAAAATATGGGTCAATCTATATCAGATACCACATAAATAAAAGTTTCAAAGCTTGTACAAAGTTCACAAAAACGTAATTAAATTTATAAAACTGTTCATCAAAATTTTTATTTTTTATTAGATTTCCTAGAAAAAGTTTGAGTATGCAGTTTAATATCCCATTCCATTTTAGTATGATAAAGTGCAAGTAAATTTTTTTCTGTGGAGGTGTTACGAATTTTGTTCCATATAACGCATGAACAAAACAGACTTATATGTGGAAATTCTTCAAAATCAACGGTAATTTTTAGCTATATTTCTCTTACAGAATTGCGTGCAATAGTGCTTGCTTATTACCTACTCACAATAGCCGCGTTAAAGCATGACCATATTGAGTAGAAGTTTATAGGTTGAAATGAATAATGAAATTGTTGAAAATTCGGGAAAAATCTTGTCCCGGGCGAACATTTCAAATTTAATGCAAACTGGGACGTCCCGGCGAATACGGGACATTTGGCAATGCTAGTCAGATATAGTATGATCAGATAAAATTAAGCTAAAATCCCACACCCAGCTTTTCAGTCAATCAGCGCTTGTCATCCTTCCAGTGCTCCTTTCAGCTATAACTTTTATCTCGCCGTGAGCGCTGAAATCCACAATACCAGAAATGCTTGGTGCGAATTTCAAACTTAAGTGTGGCCGAAGAAACAAATTTATCGAGGCGCATAATTTTCCGTAGAGGCGTAGTCATTTGGCGATCGAGAT